GCCGGGCTCTCTTCCCCAAGCCAAGCGCAGAGGGCAGGAGGAGGCGCTCAGCCTCCTTTGTTTTCTGGACCCCTCTGAAGCTCCGTCGGGGCGCGAGCCGAGAGTTTCGTGCCCCGGCAGCCCAGGGCACGAGTAAGGCGTGCTTGTCTCGCCTGAGCGAAGGGCTGGGGGCGCGGCACTCACTCGGCCCAGGGGTGACCGCGGTCTTGAGCTTGGGCAGCCCGCCCATGTGCTGCGCTGGGGCCACGTCCTTGCCGTTGCTGGTGACGCGGGGCTGGACGTAGTACCGAGGGCCCGGGGAGCAGCTCTCTGCGGCGGGAGGTTTGGCCCTTTGAAACGTGTAGGCAGGGGCTTTGGCCTTGGTGGGGTTGTCAGCCAGGTAACCTGGGAAGCAAAGGCTGTGAAAGGACACCTGCCCGCAACCGCCGATTTTACGCAGCGGAGAAGAAGAACAGGGAGAGAAGGTGAAACAGAAGAGGAGATGGTGAAGAAGGAGGTGAAGAAGAAGAGGAGGAGGAGAAGCCAAAGAGGAAGAGGAGAAGAAAGGGAGGAGCTGGGAGCAGCCCGTTGGTAGCAAAGACGCAGACCCAGCTTCCCGCGGCCGGCCCGTGTCCTTGCTGCAGCTGGGAGCAGGGAGGCTCGGCGCAAAGGGGAAGGGAGCTGGGGCTGCTCGTCCCCTGGAGGCAGGGGGTGCCCCCCGCGCTGGGGGTTTACCTGTTGTCCCAGGGATGGAGTACTTGGGTCCTGGGCTGGTGAACTGGGCCATGATGGGGCCGTGTGGGCGGTGGGGCCTCCAGGTCCCCACCCAGGCTCCCTCCACGCTGGACGTGGCTACGAAGCCTGCGGGAAGACTGGGAGAGTTGCTGAGGGCTCCCTGCGAGCGGCGCGGTGCGCAGGCTCCCCGGGAGGAGCAGCAGCGCTTCACCTCGCTCCGCCTTGGCCATGGCAGCGGGTGCGGATGAGCTCGGTGGGTGCTGCAGCTCTCGGTGGCAGAGCGCGGCGAGGGCAGGAGAGGTTGTGGTGTCAGCTGCCCGGCGGCCTTGGGGAGAGGCCTTGGCGTGTTACGGGGACGCGCTGTGACATCACGCAGGCTGCTGGGCCCTGTCATGTGTGCTGTTGTGTCATCCGGCTGCTGGGGAGCTGGGGAGGTCCAGCCTGCAGGGCCAGACCTGGATGAAGTCTGCAGGGCAGAAACGGGAGCAAGGGAAACGCGGATGTGATCTGTGTGCGCGCTCTAGGAGCCGTGTGCTCTTGGGCGCTTGGTGTCACGTAATACAGGAATGTACGCTTGCACACCTGGAATTTGTGTTTCGTGTCTTATTTTCCGGCTGTCCCTTAATCCGCGTGGTTTTTCCGGGGGAGGGCGAGCTGGGCCCAAGAGGTCTGTGCCGCGATCTCAGCGGCGGAGGGCAGTGAGAGAGCAAAGCTCTCATTTCAGTCGCTCTGGCTTCTCCAATCGAGGGACCCCCTGTCTGCAAGATTCTTCAGATGCTCCCGATCTCTTCCAGCAGGAGTGTCCGTCTGTCTGCCCATCTCTCCGAGTCGTTTGGGGAGTTCGTGGTGACTAGGCTTCTCAACTTCGATGCCACAGAGACAGACGAAGCGACTTTTCCAAAGCCACGCTGGGAGTGTTGGGACAGCGATGGGAAGTTTGACTGCCTCAGCGGTGTGCAGGTATTTACACCTGCAGTGGAAGCGTCCCCGGGTTTTCGTGCCCCAGGGTTTTGTCCTTCTAGCTAACGGCCCCAAGCATCACCCAGCCCTTTGTTCAGGGCCCACCAAAGGTTTTGTCCCTGACTTTTGTGGTTTGGGACCCTTCTGGGCTCTCTGTCGCTGCTGTCAGTCCGTCGCTGTCTCGTCCCGTGCAGGGACAGCTCGGGGACTCCCTTCAGCGCATGAAGCCCTGCTGTGCCAGCTGTCCCTGACCCTGTGCACGCCCTTCATCCCGCCTGAGCCGTGGGATCCCTTTTTCCAGGGCCGGTGCTCAGAGGGCTGCTTCCCCGGCACGGCCCTTCCCCGACCCCAGGCCCAGGGCGTTGCCTGCGCCCCTGCCCCTGCTCCGGCCCCCCCCGTCCCCTTGCAGCCCCCTTGCGAGGCCCTGGGCGCGTGCGAGCTGCTTGCGAGAGGCGGCTGGGAGGGCGGCGGCCGGACAAGGCGCCAGGCACCCCCAGGTTGCTCACGAGGGGGCCGGGCGCTGCTTGGGTGCTCGTGCACGGCACCGGGCGCACACGGCGCGCTTGTGCAAGGGTCTGGGGGGGAAAGGAAGGGTGCTTGTGCGAGGGGCCGGGTCTGCCCCCCTCCCCGTGGGGACACAGGTGGCCAAGGGACGCAGGCATCAAAGTGACCCCCCTTTATCCCTGCACACCCCTGCCGCCCCCCAGGGACCCAGGCGTCTGCCCCTGTTGTGTCCCGTCCCCTCCCCAGGCACAGGCAGGGGACACCAAGCACAGCTCACACATTTTATTTATTGTCCCCGACTGTGACAAGGGGGCTGTGCCCAGGGTGTTCCCAGGCGGCACAAGGGGATGTCACCAAGGTGGGGGGATGATACGGGGTGTCACTGGGGCCACAGGGACAACTCGGGGTGTCGGCACACGTTGAGGGCGTCACAGGGGTGGGGGGGACAATGTGGGGTGTTACTGGGGCTGGGGGAGGTGACAACGTGGGGTGACCCTGTGCAGGTGCGGGGACAGGGGCTGTCCCTGCCTGTTACTGTGTGTGGGGACAGGGGACGTCCTTGTGCGTTGCCATGTGGGGGAGGAGACATGGAGCGTCCCCATGTACGTGTGGGGACTCGCAGGGTACAGCTCTGTCCCCAGGTATCTAACAGGACCCAAGGCATGTCCCCTGTCCCCCCGCTATGCGATGCCACGTCCTGTACATCAACCCGTGTCCCCATGTCCTACCCGCGCTCGCAGATGAGCTCGACGACGCTGTGCTCCATGGGGACGGGGTCGAGGCAGCGGTGGGCGGCGCTGGCGGCCACCCCGGCCCGCCGC